TAATCATGTGTAACTATTGATAAAAAAAAACTATTTTTTTTTGTAACAAAACTTGAATTGTTTTGCTCTTCAATCATTGGTTCCGTAGCATTTTTAATACACTGTGCCTCGTTATCAACTGTGACGGTTTTTTTCAGACGGCGACTGTTGTGACGGTTTCTCCTCAGTTTTTTCAGACTGAAAATTTTTTTAAATTGATTTCGTTCCTATACTATCGATCGTGCGTAAACGCTTCATATAGTAATCGCTATTCCGTGGGCCACCCGCTCCACTTAAATTTCTTCCTCGCTTCATTATAAAAACTTTTCATCAATCTTGTTAAAAAATACGAATAGAACATGTTTTACGCTAAATCATAACAAAAACACTTGTCTGGGAAAATGAGTTAAGTTGTTTACGCGCTGGCTCAATTTAGCCGGTTGCCTAGTATAAAAAATTCACCACTCACTCCGATTGAATGGCGTATTTAGGAGAAGTGACGTCAGCATATCAAGCCTGTTTTCGAGCTAGTGCGGTTGCGCAGAACGCCGTCCGATGGCGTACCATACGGCGTTCATTGTGAATCCACTTTTCCGTGAACCGCTCGGAAAACTATTCAGCACTTTAATTCCTTCTAACTTTCTTTTTTATTTTCGTGAAGATGCGTTTTTTTTTCAAAGTTTGTTGAAGTACTGATTTTTTTTGTGAAGGTACCGATTTTTTTTTTTTAATTTTGTGAAGGTACCGATTTTTTTTTTTAATTTTGTGAAGGTACCGAAAAACAGTACCAAAATCGTCCTGGATTAAGCCCTGGATTCCAATTGGAATCACTGGGACTGAAAGGGTTAAAAACCTGAAGTTTTTCAAGTGAATATTAATGTTCAGTTGTAGGTGTAGATGTTGAGTTGGAGATGTAACTAATGCATTCTGTAAATTAAAGAGCCTCTTTATTTGGAGCTTTCACTATCATTGCACCCTTATTAGACAATTTACACATGTGTAAAAAAAAACTTGTAAAATGTGTATTCTATAAACTTTTTCTAATGAATTTTAAATACGTACTAATCAAATATTTTTTGATATATCCTATTCAGGCTTTTGGTCACTAGGCCATAAACTCAATCGTTTCATAATGTATGCGAGTCCCTTGAGACTCAGTTGGTCTTGATCAACTGAGTCCCTTGAGACTCAGTTGGTCTTGATCAACACCAACTTGAAATTTTTTGTTCTTAGATTAAGCTAAAAATATGTTAATATTTGAGACATCACTAAATTTGCTTTAAAATTTTATGATTATTGAAAATTCAGAATTCTCTGTGTAATTATATATCAAGATTTAATCATGCAAATTTGCATTTAATATTTGAGTTTCACGAAAAAAAACAACTGAATACATATTATTTGATTTTAGTTAGACCTGTTATGTTTTTGTGTTTATTAAATAAACAATTTATAAGATTCAACCTAAGTATTTTTTCTTAATCAATGTTATGCTAAGCTTTTATGTTAACTAATTATTAATTCTTACCTCATTTCATTATTAACTATATCTCAATTGTCTTCCAAAGATAACTGCAAAGATGATTGCAGCACACTGTCTTTCACTGAATAGACTATTATTGGATATGCTAGTTTCAATCCTAATTTCAAGTAGAAGTAGAGAAATACTTATCTTTCATTTTAATGCCCCTCTTTACTTAACGTCTAATTGCAATCTATGCTTTATAAAACTTTTCTTAAATTACCATTAATTTCCTAATTGTTATAAAATTAAACCAATTCTTTTTTTCCTTGAGTCATTTCTCATTTTCCTTAGATTAAAGAAAAGAAGACATAATTTGTTGAAACAGTGTTCTTCTGGTGATGCTATTAAATCTGTAATATATGTGCTTTTGCTATTTCACTATAAAGAATAGAATTAACACGACTAACTATAAAAAATATACATTAATAACAGTTAGGTGTTACTTTTTATTTCTCAAATAATGAAAGAAGGAAATTAGTATAATTTTTAATTTTTTTTTGTTGCATTGTATGACAAAAAAAAAGGAATAAAAAGATACAAATATTACAAAATTTTGATATGTTTAACGATTGATAGTTTTAATTTTTTCATCCCTTTTTTTACAGACTTATTTAATTCAAATATTGAAAGATCACCTTCTAGGAAATTTAAGATAAGAAATTTAATCTTAATATTGAGATTATTTGTTTTTGTAGAATTTGCTTTCCATAGTGAAATGTTTTCTTAACATTCATTGCATTTTCAATGTTTTTTAAAGAAATATGAAGATAGTGGAATAATCCTGTGCCAGTTAAATAAACTCCAAAAAGATAGAGTGGCAATATTTAAGAAATGTTTTGCAGAAGATTCTGATTTAGTTCAGTAAGTTAATAGATTTTTTTAACCATAAAAAATTTTGTTTTCACTACTTGAGGACTTACATGCAATTATCTTCAATAAATTATTCTTTACTTATTAGTTGTTAAAAATAATTCACGAGAAGATATTATATGTAGTCAGATGGAATAATTATGACCACTTCTGACTTTTTTATTTTAAACTTTTTTATCTAAAACCTCAAGTTAACTGTTTAATAATGGTTGGGTGATTTTTTGACTCTTTATAAATCTAGAAAAATAATAAACCTCTAAGTTATAGTTAGGCTCTTTAGTAGGTGGTCATAATTATCCCACCTAAAATCTCAAAAAGTGAAACTTTGGCATTATTCTAACCATATGTGGGGAAATAGTGACTATCTGCTCATGCACATTTTAGAACTATTTTTAATTCACAGTCAGACATCCAGAAACCTTAACCAATGCTTTTCTCTTTGCACCTATTATATTTACATGAAAGGGGGGAGTTATTGAATCCTGACTCATCTGTTTGAATACAAAGGAAGTTTTTTTTTAGAAAATCATAAAAAATTTCTAGAATTTTGTTCGATTGGCACAATAACTGAAGGTGCTTTTTTCAAGGTTGTCGCTTCATAAGGAATAGATACCAGATATATTTTTTAACATATATTTTTTAACATAGTTTCCTCTCATATGTTATTGCAACAGTTTTTTGGAGGTTCCTTAAAGAGTAAGAATGAAGATTCATCTCTTTTGTGTGATTTTACTACAAAGCGATTCAAGATAATTAATTTTGAGTTAACATGAAATATGGTATAGCAATACAGTATAGGACCCCAAATCTGGCACAACAATATATATTAAACAATAAACAATATATATTTTTTATAAGCTAACAACAAATAATGATAAAAAAAAGCAAGCTAACAACTAAATACGATTAAAAAAAACAAGCTGTCAATTAACAAAAAAAAAAAAAAAAAAAAAACGAGCTGTTAATAAATGATAAAAAAACAAAAGAGTATAATTTACATCAAATAAGAAAAGCAGCAAAAGGGATAGAATTCAGTTTGTATCCCATGTGGTAGCTTTATTATCAAAAGAGTGTGGCTAATTTATGGTCAAACTGGAGAGGGAAATGTGGGAACCAAGGAGTAAGAAGGGGGGAAAAACCAGTGGAGCACTTGCACAGCTATCAAGATTGATTGATCAGTTTCTTTCAACTTGCTTTTCTTTATTTTGTTCATTGAAAATGCAGGTGTTTTTACTTTTCCCTGTCACTTTAGATATTTTAAACTGCTTTAGAAACAGATGTTTCCTTTGACAAAGATTTTTTTTTCATGCTTTTTTTTTTTTTTTTAGAAAGATAAAATAAAGTTACTTACTTCAACAAAATAAAATTCCAAATAGAAAGAGAATATAACTGATTTTTTTTCCTCTTATTAATAAAAATTTCTTTAAAAAAAAAGAAAAAAGATCGGATTATGTGCCGAATTTCGGGTCCTGCCGGATTAGGGGTCCCATACTGTATCTGCTGCAAAGACTGATAAAACCTGTTGGATTTACAATGAAATCGGCATAAATAAAAGACACATTTTAATGCATGATTCATACACAATATATTAAAAATAAGAGGATTTCCTTGGATTTATGGAAAAAATAATAAAAAAGTGATTATTAAATGTGAGTTTCCATGTTCTAGACTCATAATATTGTACTATTACAAGTTTCTGGACTTTCAGAAATGCGTATTAATAGTTGCCGAAGAAACTATCAAAAAATAATTTTGATTAGCAATGGAATTAGTATTTAAAGAAGCCTGTCGAAAACTGATAGTTAAAATTTGAAACTTGCAAATTATAATACATATTTACAAATATCAGTTTTTTTAAAATCTTGTGAAAAATCCATCAATAGCTGCCAAAAACGTGCAGAAAGGTGAAGAGTCACTTTGATTTACAAACTCTGCACAAATACAGCGAGTCAAGAAGTAATAATATTTTTTTTGAAGATTGTGGATCGTAATTATGAATTGAACTTATTGAGTTTCTTAAAACCACGCGGAAATCCGTAGCAGTAACTGCCAAAAAGTGATTGAAAAACCACACAGATTTATTTCTATTAGAACATGTACAAATTAAGTGTGTTTTAAAAATGATGCCTCAAATTTTTTTAAATTTATAACTTTTATTATGTTCAGGTGTTTTATTATGTTCAGGTGTTATATTCAGGTTGGGAAGCATGAATTTAGAAAATAGTAGTGTGGTTATGAACAATTTAATACAAATATGTGAGAAAGTGTTGTATTTATTATAGTTTGTTGTAATTTTCTTAGTTTCTAAATTTTTTAAAATAATTACTGAGTAAATTTTTTATCAATTTTAGTTAAATTGATTTAGAATAATGTGTGATTAAGAATTTAAAAATTTCAAATTTGAGGTCTTTACAAAAGGTGTTCGAGTGTTCTATCTTATTTACCATTCTGATTAATTTTCAGGGATGTATCACCATCAATTGCGCTTGTAAGAAAATTAGTAGCAGTCTTAGAATCTATAGAAAAATTACCTGTTCTTCTTTATGATACAAATGGTGGAGGAAATGGTCTCCAGGTATTGAGTAAAGTGCTTTATTATTTTTTGTTTGTTTTTTATTTGAAAATATTTTTAAGATTAATATTTGAAATATTTTGACAGATTTTAACTCGAAGACTTAGATTTAGACTTGAAAGGGCTCCAGGGGAAACTGCTTTAATAGACAGAACTGGTAGAGGTCTGAAAATGGAACCTTTAACAACTGTTGGACAGTTAGAAAGGCATTTAGTAAAAATGGTAATTGAATTCTTTTTCTGTTTGGTTTAGATAAAAAGGGGTAGAGATTGTTAATGACAAAGTTATCAATAATACTCTTATTGAAATTTGGATAATGTGGTTTTACTTGTTTAGATAGCAGCTAGAGAAAAAATTTAGGCACTAAATGTTATTTTTACTGTTAGTCTTTAGAACTAATACAAGTTTAAAAATTATGCAGACTTTCAAAAAAAATTTTAAGGTTTTTTTATGTAAAAAAAAAAAAAATCGTATCACCAAGTTAATAACAAATTATTTTTAAAGAGGTACCATTATTTTTACATTATATTAAGCTACATACATATTTTGAATTGCTAAGATTTAAAATTTGAGATAAATTGGTCAAATAGCACATAAAAAATGCATTAAAAGAAAAAACTTTTTTCTACCATTATTTTTTTATTTTTTTAAATTTAAGATTTATGCAGTTCCCAAAATATTTTTTTACACCCAAAATTTAAATCAGTTTTGTGTGACTAATCAAATCTTACTGATGAATACTGTAGACTTTTTAAACAATTCATTGATTGAAAAATATTACATTAATTAAAAGTACCACTGTTTAACAAAAACAACTGATTAGATTAATTTATGGATTAATTATAAACTTATCACATTAGTTTATGGATGTCATTAACAATCATAAAGTCACTCTAAAATATTTATTATGACATTTTATGTTTTGACTTAAATTTGAAATGTTAAAAATAAATTATATGTGAAACTGGGCTCATGAATGGTTGATGATGTAGGACTTCTTACAGTTTTCTGAAATATTTTTAAATAAATAATTGTTTAAATTTATACCTGATTTACTGATTAACTTTATATCTGATTATATGTCATTGATGTAACTTACATTGCATGTAGAGATTTTTCTTAATAAGATGCTGTCATATTGAAAATAATATGTTCTGAAAAATCAGGATTTAACATTAAATTTTTCAAAAAAATTATAAGAAAAAAACTATTTTGCGCAACTGAAACTACATTGGGCCTATACACAATGTTAAGAAAAATGATGTTATAGAACTAGCAAGTAAAATGATATTGTTAAGAGATAACAGCATTTAAAATGTGTGATTAATTTGTAGTTAGTTGTTTTTACTTTTTTTCTATTTTATGCATGCTATCAACTTATGTAAAATTAAAACAAGGGTTTTAAAAAATTTATGGGGGCAATATTTTAAAACAAGGGTTTTAAAATATTTATGTTATCCCTTGAAATTGCTTAGTTTGCTTTTTATTACATTTTGTACCATTAAAAATATATTTTCTTTAAATAATTTTTGAAGGTTGCAAAACAATGGTATGATTATGACAGATCAACCTTTGCCTTTGTAAAAAAATTGAAAGAACCAGATGTCCATATCACTTTTAATCATCAAAAAGATTTTGATGACAATGGAGTTATTTATTGGATTGGTACAAATGGCAGGTAAAGCTACATGTGTTTCCTTTCTATAAATATTTATTTAATATTGTTTTACCTTTACTTAATTAATCAAAATCAATTGTGTTAGTTATTAATTAGTAATTTAATTTATTTAAAAGATAATTATAAAATTACTTTCATAAGTATTAATAATTACAAACTAATTGAAAGTATGATTTTAATATATTAATTTATTCAAAAAGAGTACACATGCATTGCGTTAACTAGTTAAAACAATGCACTAATGTCAGGGATGGAAGACTTTCGCAAAAAAATGGAAATCTGCTTTTTTCTCCCATTTTGTAAAATTTTTGACCATGTTCCAAAGCATGAATTTTTACAGGGTTGCCACAGGTGACTAAAATGTAACTATTTGCAACTATTTTTGGCATGAGGCGACTATGGCTACTTTTTTTTCCCTGAAAAGGCAAAAGCAACTATTTTCAGGCAAAGGAGACTATTGGGAGACTTTTCTGAACTCCTAGCACTGTTTTTTCTAAAGCATAAATTAGGTGGAAAATATGCACCCCACAGGATAGTTTCTGAACACATTAAACTTTTTATTTCTTTGAAAATTTTGAATTGCAAATTTGAGTCTTCACTTTTTAATTTGTTCAATCTACACAGATTCCATTGTAAGTCTATTTTATTTCTCGATCGCCTTTTCAATGATTATTGCTACAAAATTCCGCATGATTTAGAAAAAAAAATCACAATATTACGATGCATGAATTTAAAATTTGAGTACAGTGATCTCTCACTTATGCGCGCTCTCTTTTATACGCGTTTCTCACTTATGCGCGCTTTTCCAGCAGTCCTGGCTGGGAATATAGAAAAACAATGATAACTCTTTTTCATTTATGCGCTGCTCTGAAGAACCACCTCTCACTTATGTGCGGCGCAAAAATTTTCTCACTTTAAAAATAAGAGGTCTCAAAAGTGTAGCATATTGCTTATCATAAGAATTTTCATCCTTTTGACATGTTTTTCTTGGAATGCTCTCGTTTTTCTTATCTTTGTGTGGTCACAACCCTCATTTTAAGGCCTTAGATGACCCCCCCCCCTACTGCTTNTATCATAAGAATTTTCATCCTTTTGACATGTTTTTCTTGGAATGCTCTCGTTTTTCTTATCTTTGTGTGGTCACAACCCTCATTTTAAGGCCTTAGATGACCCCCCCCTACTGCTTTCCTCTTTTATCTCTTACCCCTATTGTTCAAATTCCAGGAACACATTTCCCTTAGAGGGGTACAAGGAGGGGTCGCTCTTGTGATCGAGGTAGGTAAAACTGACAGCCAATTAAAGATGTTAGTGCAAAAACCACGTCACATCGTCGACTAACTGAATCGTCGGTGTTTAGTTAGATGCTTACTTTTCAGCATGGCGAAGAGAACAAAATTGTCGCTTTCATTTAAAATGGATGTTATAAAAAAATTCGAAGAAAATTCTTTCACCTCGAAAAAAGCTTTGGCGGAGTCTTTTAATATCCCCGAATCAACGTTAAGAGGGATTTTAAAAAATCGAGAAGCGATTTTAATAGCTAATCGAGAATGTGGTGTGCAATCGAAGAAAAGAAGCAGGATTCAAGGTGGGAAGTACGAGGAATTTGAAAAAGTTTTATTGACCTGGTTCAAAGAAGCTCGTGCTTCAAACATTCCCGTTAATGTTGAACTCTTGAGAGAGAAAGCTGTAGAGTTGTCCAAGAGTTTTGATATGCAAAACTTTTCAGCATCTCACGGATGGACTGAAAAATTCAAAAACAGACATGGCTTAGCAACTCGTGTCCTTTCTGGAGAAAGTGGAAGTGTAAATGAAGAAACTGTTCAACAGTGGACAGAGCAATTGGCCACTTTAATAAAAGGATACGAACTAAAAAACATTTACAATTGTGACGAAACAGGACTTTTTTTTAAAATGATGCCCGACAAAACTTTATCATTTAAAGGAGAATCATGTCATGGTGGGAAGAAAAGTAAAGAAAGGTTAACTGTCTTGTTATGTTGCAACGCTGATGGCTCAGAAAAATTCACACCATTAGTCATTGGAAGATCAAGCAAACCGCGATGTTTTAAGAACGTGAAAAAGCTCCCCTGCGACTATAGTAGCAATAAAACGGCGTGGATGACATCGAACATTTTTTTGGATTTCCTTCATAAGTTTGATAGAAAAATGGAAAAAAGAAAAACAAAAAGTTCTTTTATTCATGGATCAATGCCCTGCTCATCCACAAGACTTACCGAATTTCAATAACACGAAAGTTGTTTTCTTTCCTGCAAATTGCACTAGCAAAATTCAACCCTTGGATCTAGGCATCATCCGTTGTGTAAAAGTTCACTATAGAAAAACTTTAACTCGTCGTCTTTTGTCTGCCATGGAAACAAAACTTCAGGCAAAAGACGAGCTAAAGCAAATCACTGTCCTTGATGCAATGCACATGATGTGCTCATCATGGAGAAGCATCACAGACAAGTGTATTCAAAACTGCTTTAAAAAAGCGGGATTTCTCCTTCCAGAAGAATCTGGCTGTGAAGAGCCAGAGCCCGAAAATGAAAACGACATTAGTGAAGAGGATTGGAATACTGTGTCTGGTGGAATGGGTAATGGTACTTTCAACGAATTCGTTGACGTCGATGAGCATTTAAATACGGCTCAAATACGAGATATTGGAGAAATTGCAGCTGAAATAAATGGTGGCGACAATGATGAAGAGATAGACGACATTGATGAAGAAGATACCGCAAAAGTTCCCCCAACCCACACAGCCGCTTTACAGGCACTAGAAACTCTACGAGATTATTTTCAATTTCATTCTGGAAGTGAAGGAACTTTTTCAAGTCTTGATGGACTTGAAAAGACTCTTTTTGAAAACTCCCGAAAACAAAAACAAACCTCGATTGTAAATTATTTTGTGAAAAATTCATAATTGGAATAAAAAAATAAATTTGGGTATGTAAGCATTTAAATTTTCTTTAACTTATTTATTTATAGTTAAATATATTAAAATTTGAATCTCATTTTATTTAAATGTTCAGTCAAGTACATATAGTATTAATTCGAAGTATAATGTTGTAAAATGTATTAATGTTCTCTTTTTAAGATCTTTATTATGGCTTTTCACTTTATTATGGCTTCACTTTTTTTACGCGTGTCTCACTTATACGCGCTTTTCCTGTGGCCCCTCGCCCCCGCGCATAAATGAGAGATCACTGTAATTACTTTTCATATATCTATCTATCTAAATACATATATATATATATATAAACATTTACGTTTATGTAAAAATTATCATATTTGCCACCAACTTGACTGAATGGATCATGGTATATGACAATTAAGTCATTAACAAAATTTGTCATATTTTTGATGAATTTTTTTTCTTATTTAGGCAACTATTTTCCTAGTTTTTGGCTACTATTTTCACGTTTTAGGCTACTAAAGGCAAATATTTTGTTCTCCTTTTTTTGTGGCAACCCTGTTTTTAGGGGAGTCCAATTATTAGAGAAACTCCCTCCTCCATGACTGCGGAAACCCAAGCCACTAAAACGGTAGCCGGACTTGGAACAAACTTTTCCCCCCTACAGTAGCCTTCTGAGAAAGAATGATAGCCAAGAGAAAATGGACGAGCTTTGAAAGGTGCGCCATTGCCTTGACAACCGTGACTTCCGCTGTAGAGTACAAAGGATGAGGTTCTTGGCTGCTGAGTTTGCTGACTTCTAAGCAGTTTTGTTTCGATCATCAAAATTTGATCCCTGGTTTTCATTCTTGGTGCAACGCATATTGAATTTGCGCATGCGTTTATTATAGTTCTGTCAGTTCCGCTCCTTCTTATTTTTGGCCGTTCTTGCATTTGTTTGTTTTTCGTTTATTTGTTCCCTTTTCATGTGGTGCCTCGTACATGTCGCTGCCAACTGTTCCGATTAAATCGTATTTGTTCCGCTTTTTTAACTTTGTTCTGAAAATACTCAAAGCAGAGGAAGAAATTCTTCTCAATTCAGTCTCTGTGATTGATTGCTGGGTAGAATGGAGAAAGTTAGACTGTTTATTTTTCTTAATTTTAATCAATGTTTTTTTTCTTTCCAAAATAAAATCCGTATCTCGTAAACGAAATCAGATGAAATGCATGATTTAGTTTTTACTTTGAATTACAAGAGAAATATCAGCAAACAGAGGGTAGTAAGGAAATTATAAGAAATATGCTTTGCAATGCATTATTACATAAATATAATAAAATAAAAAGAGTAAAGTGAAAATATAGATTTTAATAAGAATACTAAAACAGCTAAAATCAGCTATCTTTTAAATTCAATTTTTAAGTAGGAATATAGTTAGGCTGTTTTGAATCATTTTAGCAGTCCAGAAAACCAAGAAATTCAGACATGAGGGATATAGATGATCCCGAACATTTTGGATAATTAGTTCTCTACTGTATTTTTCACTTACTGTGTTACAAAAGGCATATAAGCTAAGATTGTATGTATGTAATTCAATGTATTTGTAAAATCAAACTGCATGTAATACATTTTTTATGTTCAAGCCAAATGTTTCTAATGCAGTGTTTAAGTTTTGCCAAATAGTCCATGCACTTACCAAGTGTTTTTGTTGTTTACATTAGAGTATTTTATTTGATTATGAAAAATTTCTTGCTTTTTATTTTGCATTGTTGTATGCAGTCTGAACTTATCTTGATGTTTCATTTTTTCTGACTTAATCTTAATTTGTCTTGATGTTGATTTTTTTCTGATATAAGCTGAATTAGTTTCTATACTTTTGCAAAATTTATATTTTTATGGTGAAATAATTTAAATTTTTCATTATGATTTTGTACTTATTATTAGATCTGTTATATTATTACAAATGCTGTGGATTTTGATATTTTGATTTAGTTTTTGGAAACAGCTATAATGTAGTTAAGAAAATGATATATTAAAAACTTGAAAATCTTGTGAAATTTCTTAAAATAACTCAAAAAGTTAAAATTTACTAATTGTTGTTAATTTGATTTATTATATTCTGATTAATATAAAATATACTAAACATTAGGATATTTTAATTGACTTATACAAATGTAATACATCTAAGTGTAATACAAATTTAATATTTCCCTACTTAGTGCTATATGGAGGAGGGTATCATAAAAATTAACTGCAGACATTTCAGAGAAATAAATTTCTCCTGAGAAATCAAAAAGTTTGTTAGAGTTAGACTTGCTTTAATAATTTTTTTTGTTTTAACTTTTTAATTCCCAATTCTGCTTCTGATTTTTTCTTTGTTTAGAACTGTTTCAGAGTGGGTTAATCCAGCTCAAGTAGGTCTTGTAATGGTAACAGCATCAGAGGGCAGAAACTTGCCTTATGGTAGACTTGAAGATATACTCAGCAGGGAGACTTCTGCTTTAAATTGTCATACCAATGATGATAAGTAAGCTTTGATTTCTATTCCTGTTTTGCTTTTAAATATTTGAAATGCTTTGTTTCAACATATTTAAAATAAATAACTGTTACACTCTTTACTACACAAAGAGTTCTTAACAAACATAATCTTAGTGCATTTCTATGACATTTTTACTCTTTAAGTTCTATTTAAAATGCAAAATTAGAATCTTTTTGATATTTGTGTGCATTCGATTTTTAGAAGTTAACCTTGTATTTTTCTTTATTTTAAACTGGCATGTTTTTCAACCAAAACTTGTTTTATCCTATAATATTAAATAAAAAAGTAGAACATTTGAAAAATGTGTATTTGCCCAGATTAATTGCTAATAAAAAAGGATGGAGGCTAACAAACTCTTCAAAATTGTGTTCTTAGCTGTTAGAAGTATTGACTTTTCAATTCATTTTTTTTCTAATTTCGAAAAAAAAACGTAGTCAATATTTTAGTAATATTAGATTTCATCACATTTTGAACCTAGTAATCGCCTCTTTTATTATTTATTGTTTCCCTTTATTTGTTAATTGTTCATTGATCAAATGCGGTTATTGCTATTTATGTGATAGTTATTTTAAGTAAAATATATTTTAGAAATCAATTTTTGTAATTATATTTCTAAAATCTATTTTTGTAATTATATTTCTAAATCTCTAAAATCTTTTTTTGTAACTATATTTCTGAAATATATTTAACTGAAATATTTGGTTTTATGCATTGTTTTACTTTCCTATAATTACGTTTATTAATATCTTTGTCATATATCATATCAAACATGTTGATTTCGTAATTGTGTTGATTGTAAATGCTTTTTTTTCAATAGGCCTCTTCTAACCCCTCCCCCTAACAGAAAGGCATTTTTTTCATATAAATGTGAGGGATTCTTATTAGGTATTTCATAGTATTTATCTTTTTTTTAAGTTGCAATTTTCTAATATAGTTAATGTTCATAAAAATTTCTTTTAAATTTCGTACAAACTAAATTTTTGTATTTAAATATCTCACCATAAAAAGATACTTTATTGCTTTGTGGAATTTTCTTAAACTTTGGATTATTTAAAAATTAATTCAAGAAATTTATCTCCCTTTTTTGTATCACAGTTTTGTCCCTGTTTTCTATGCTATTATCTCACGTTTTTTTCCAGAGACATTTACTTGACGTAAGTAATGTCACTAAAGAGTAGTTTCACAACACCACGTCAGAATTGATGAAAATGTGTTAATTCTTTTTATTCATTATTTATGAATCATTTACCTTTCTTACATTTTATTTACCTTATCTTTCAAGTTCTTGTCTTTCATTTACTTGCAGAAGAGCTTGGTTTGCTATAGATTTAGGGCTTTGGTTAATTCCTAATCGCTATACACTACGTCATGCTAGAGGCTATGGCAGGTAAAGTACTTTACATACAAGTCTTATCACTCTTTTATTCTCACTTTATCTTCTGTCATTTATTCTATTAGTCATTGTAGAAGATTGATTTCCAAGTCATAAGTGTACATGTGATGATTCAAAAAGATTCATTTAAATAATTTTGTATATTTTATTTTCTATTTTTAATGTTGTATCACAATTTATACTTAGATTGAGTTTCTTAATTTAAAAAAAACCCACTGTTAATATTTGTGTTTCAATTTTTATTTGAGATGTTTAAATCGAAAAACTTAAATGTGTAGTCATTTTTAAAAACTCAAATACTGAAGAACTTTTAAAAAAATAAATTGTTATATAAATTTTTGTTTCTTGGATTTTATAACTGCAAAAGCCAGACTAATCAGTTGTGGAATTTTTAAAAATACTTCTAACCTCAAAATTTGTTACACACGTTAAATAAAATGCATTTCAATCATTAAAATATTACAAAAAGAAAAAAAAATCAAACATTTAAATTAGTTATGAAATAATTGAGGAAATACTATATAATATACTTCTTCATAGGTTAACATGGAAGTAGAGAACTTTTTTCAAGCAAACATGTCATTTTTTCTTTAACAGCAAATCAATATTTGGGGATTATGCCCTCATTCCTTCATTCTGAGGGAGTTCAAGCTATGTTAAGTTTGTATTGTGTTAACATCAAATGACAAATCATTTACTTGAACCTTTTATAGTTAACATATTAAATTTTTTCACAGTAGAATAATTTTTTTGTTTTGTTATGAAACCTTATTTAGCATAAGTACTGTAAGAAATACTTTATTTTCTTTCAATTATGTGAAGTCAGTAAATACAAAAGCTAAGTTATTTTTATTTTGTTTCTTTTTCGATAAATTAAATGATTTTATTTGCAAAAGTTTTCTTTTTAAGCTTAGTAAGAAAAAGGAGGAACATTAAGCTATAAATATCATAACCTTTACTGTTGCAGCTGAACTAGAACTCCTTTACAATTGCTATTGATTTAAAATTAAGTGTTTCTGAATATTCGTTATTTGCTGGAAAGTCAAATTAGTAGTTTTTATTTTATTTTTTCTGTAGTTAAAGTTTCCCTCTTGAAGTAATTTGCAATAGCTTTATGTAAGTAATTAGTATGAGCTTGTTACTACAGTGCAACTTCAAAAATCTGAACTGCTCGGAGGTTTGGAACATCCAGATTTCCTAAATTTCCGGATCTTAGATACCTTGCTTAAATTGTTAGAAATATCAAATTTTGAATTCGCCCACCGATTTCGCGATCAAATGCATAAACCTCCGACGTCAATTTTAACAACTTAACATAAATGTACGCTTTAAATAATAAATAAGAAACACTAAAAATTATAAAGATAAAAAGTAGCTTAAAATAATGATATATTTAAATCAACACAATTAATTGAATATAAATAAATTATTTCTTGAACATTTATGGTAGAGTAAAGGGCAATCGTTTTGTCAAACTCCTTTAAAAATTCTGTGAACTCTTGCTCTGATTGATAGAACGTTGCATTTCATCCAAGAAGTCTTTTTTTATATTTATATTTTAAGGATCTTAATATTCTATTATCCATCAGTTGAATAAGCAAAGTACAATTTGGAAGTAAGTTACCTGAACTCCTGATTTATGTAAAATTTCAGCTGGAGGGTGCGCTGTACAATTATCTTTGAAGAAGATAATCTTGGCATTGCTTGGAAGCCCAACAGCATTGCAGTGAGCGCTCGAGCTTTAGGAATGAAATGATCGTTAAACCATTCTTCCGTCAATTCTTGCGTAATCCACACTGGTTTGTTTGCTTTGTGCACAACAGGTAGACTTTGAATGTTTTTCAATGATCAAGGCACTTTTACCGATTACCATCAGCTTGAGGCAATGAGATCCGGATGCATTAGTGCACGCCAACTTAAAAAGCCTCTCTTTTATATCTTTCAAACCGGCTGGATTGCTTTTATCTGCAGTGGTTGGGGTTTTTCTTGGAACATAGCTCCAGAAGAGAGCAGTTTCATCTGCATTATATATTCGATCGGAAGATAAATCATTTTTGGCTACGAATTTTGAAAATTTATTAATAAAATGTTCGGCAGCTTCAACATCAGCAATCGCCTTTCCCCCGCAAATTCTTAATTTTCTTATTCCATGACATTTTTTAAATCTATCTAACCATCCTTAAGAAAATTCACTAGGCATTTCTATTTTCAAGTCTTTGTGGTAGAGCCTTGCCTGTGCCATAATAATTGCTCTGGTCAAAGCACTTACTCACTTCTTTGTCGCTCCCATTTTATCATTATATTATCCAAATCTTCGATGTTAGCTTTGCGTATCGTTTTTCTTTTGTTCATCTCTTCAGGTACATCACTTTTCGAGAAAAACTGCAGTACTTTTTCCTTCTGTTTTATTAAATCATAAACAGTGGATTTGCCGAGCTCATATTCTATGCAAAGATTAGCCCCTAAAGTTTCTGAGTTATACTTCCGCAGTAATTCTATTTTCTTAAAATTGAAAGTGAATTATGCTTCCTCTTCTTCGAACTTTTTTTTCGTTTTTTCCCTTAATTGATCGTTTAGATAACATAATGTTAGCAATTGAAACTAAAAATATGGGCTTGAAACTCAAACTGAATTTGAATTTGAAATGATCAACTTATAACTGAAACAGATGCTTCTAGACTGGAATTGGGTTAGACTGTACCAGCTGATGCTAATCCTTTTCTTGTTGTTGAGGCTGGGGGATGAAAGAATTTGTCCCTGCCTCCTAAGCTTCAACGTTAAGAAAGAACCAGTTTTCTTTCTTCATTCAAGGGAAAAACAAGGCAGCAGAAGAATTCCTGCTCTTGCACCCCTTATCTATAAAGCAATGATAAGAATGACTTGAATTTCCATATTAGCTATACGCTTTCATTCACTCCCTACCCCCACCTCTTCATCCACTGCTTCTGTTAGACTATTAAAAGGTATAAGGTTCGATGTTCGTTAGTCGTCGAAGAGGACGATCTCATGCATTCAACTTGCGTTGGTGACGCCATGGTCTGTGCGGATTGGCCAGTTTCTTTTCATTTGCTGTTGGTCGTTTTTGCGTGGATCATGACGTCATCCGTTATCTGTGTGAAGAGTATTTTAAGCTTCTGTTGAAGCAGATTGTTTTGTTTTCTTTCTTCTCGTTAGTCACTATGTTTGTGACAGTTTGTCTACCAATGTTTTTAAATAAACTTATTACTTTAGAAACTTCGTTTTTCTTATTTGTTTTATTGACTAACAGATACAACAATATTCTGCAACAATCTTGGATGTCATGGTTATGGGCCATGTTTTAGGTATAACTGGGATTCATTTTCTACCTTCCTGAATATCAAATTTGCATTAGCCTGGATTTAGCTGAGTCATTGTCAACTGCAAATGGAGAAGCTTAAAGATGGGGGCTGTTCCCACCCGCCATTTTTGCAAAGTGAATTGTCAGTTTAGCCCTCAAGTTTGTTATGGTGTACTTCCAAGATTTTGTGGATTCTAAAAATAATAGAACATTTTTAAAAAAATATGATGCTTCTAAGGAATTTTTCTCCAGTTGACAAAACTAACTGTAAGGATTTTTTTGAAAGAACTTTAGTTCGGAATATAAGTCGACACATCCGAATTTGATGGCTACTGATATAGATAACGAAGTTTTGTATCTAGTATAGAACGAGCAACGGGATTCTTCTTTTGTTTTTGGAATCTTTTAGTTATAATTTTTTCGTCATGGAATCTTCAAACCTGCATATAGATTTCCTGAATTCGCCAAATTGGAGTACATGGAAAGAAAATATGAAAGTAATCCTCATGGACCAAGAAGCATGGAGTTTTATCTCCAAAACTGAACCTGCCCTGCCTTCAAACGCAAGCCGAAAAGAAAGTCAAGAATACCTCTGGAGGCGGGACAAAGCGTACATGTCAATATTTTTTAGTATCGAACCCGATGGTGCTGAAGCTTGGAAAATTCTAAAGCAACATTTTGAACCGACTACGAGAGCAAGAGTGATTCAACTCCTAGACCAATTCTTTGACCTGAAATGCACCCCAGGAGAAGAAATTGGAATATTTGCTGCTAGATTAAGGAACCTGGTTTCTCAGCTGAAAGAAGCAGGACATCCTGTTGACGACCTATACCACAAGGATTTCAACTAATAAGATACTTAACCCAAGGACTTTCAAGGTATTGTTCAAATTATTTAGAGATGGGAGGACACTAAATTTAAATTTAAGAACATTTTAGACGAATTACTTTTGGAGGAAAGTAGACTTAAGCAACTAAATTTTGATTTAAATAAAGTTAGTGATTTTGCTTATAACGTTAATTCAAGTTTTAATGAAAAGTTAAGTATAACTAATTTTTAGAAGTTTAAATCTGGTTCTTCTAATTGTAAGAGAAATTTAGAATCTGCTAATACTAAGTCTAAATCCAAAACTAGTTATGATAAATCTTAGATAGGACCTTGTTATCGTTGTAACTAATATGGTCATTTAATATCAGTTTGTAAGCAAAAATTAAAGTGTAATTCAAAGAATATAAAGAATAAATTTAAACAAAATCCAAATGATAATTCTTATTGTAATATGCCTACAAATGTTTTAGATAATAGTCTTTATACCGTTAAAGCAAATGTTGGCTATGTGTGTCATGAAATTGAGAAAGAAAGTTGACTATTTGACACTGCCACTTCAACACATTTTTGTAATAATTTGGATTTATTCTTTGAATATGAAACTGTAGAAAATGCGTCCATGTCTTTAGCCGTAGGTGACATTGAAAGCCCAATCTTAGGTGTTGGAAAAGTGAAATTTTTGAATAAGGTAAATGGTAAAATGTACAGAGTAACTTTACAAAATGTCATGTATTTCCCTAAACTTAGAAGAAATCTTATTTCTGGTTCTATAATAGAGAAAGCTGGAGGTTATTTTGTGGGTGCTAAAAATTGTATTTCTGTGTAGAATTGGGTAAATGAGAAGATTTTCTATTGTAAAAGAATTAATGGCTTTTATTATTTTGAACCTAATGTTTATACTAAGCCTGATAAAGATTTAGTTATTGACAAAAATGTTAGCGATGCGAATGAGCAATTATTAAATGTATCTGCTCAGACAAATGATTTAAATATCTGGCATTTAAGGTACTGCCACATAAATTGTGATTATATAACTCAAGCAAATAAAAGTTCTAGTGTGAAAGGAATTACCTAATCTTAATTTTTCAGATGGTAATTGCAAAGAATGTAAATAAGCTAAATCTAAAATAATTTTGTTTAAACCAAATTTAAGTATAAGGTCTAAGGAACTTTTAGAATTTTTACATATGGACGTATGTGGTCCAATGTCTGTCATTTCACATGGTGGAAGTCAGTACTTTCTTTCTATCCCTGACGATTTTTCAAGGAAAGTTACTGTTTTTCCCATTAAAAAGAAATCTGATGTTTTTAATAGTTTCATAAGGTATCAAAAGCGTGCTGAAAGATTTTTAAACTGCAAAATTGTAAATGTTAGAACTGATAATGGCATGGAATTTTGCCATAAAGAGTTTAGTGATTTTCTTGAAAATGAAGGTATAAAATCTGAGCGTACTAACGCTTATACACCAGAACAAAATGGTGTTAGTGAATGCTATAATTGAACCGCCTTAGACAATATTAAAGCAATGTTAAAATCTATTAAATTAAGAGATGCCTTTTGGACTGAAGGTTTACTATGCTTTACTTACACTTTTAATAGAGTTTGTCATAAAAACCGAATTAAAACTCCCTTTGAATTGTTTAGTGGTAAAAAACCATCAGTCACTCATTTGAAAGTATTCGGTTGTTTAGCATTTGTGGGTCAACTAAAACAGTTGAGAAATAAACTTCTTCGAATGAGAGCTATAGAAGGGATTATGCTAGGTTATGCAATGCATACGAAGGGTTATAGAATATGGCTTAAGAATGAAAGGAAACTTGTTGAAACAATAAATGTTCGTTTTGAAGAAAGTGTAATTGGTGTGGAAGCCGTACTGGGCACCAAACCCATTAAACGTAATCTTGCTAGTTTTAAATCTGAATATCCAGATTTGGACGAAAGTGCTTCAGATGAAGATATGGATAATTCAAGCATAAAGCCTGATTTAATTCCGTGTAAGAACATTTCGTGGATTAGAAAAGCTGCACCACGTCCAGATAACAGTAGAACTGATATTTATTATAATATTGAAGGGGTAAATGTGAGATTCAGATCCTATAACGATGTTGAAAATTACTGTAATAGTAACAACATAAAGTATGATAAAGGTTTATTTGATTTCAGTGGGAAAAATGCTTTTTATGAAGTTTCAAATTTTCAGGTATATCATAACATAAAACATGAAGCAAATTATATTGATATAAAAATTCCTAAAAATTATAAAGACTGTTTAAAATCTCCCCAAGTTAAAAATTAGAAATTAGCCATGTCTGATGAGATTAATACTATGAAAGAAAGAAAAGTTTGGGATTTGGTTCCAACTCCTAAAAATAAAAGAATTTTGGTTTAGTTGCCCAGGGATTTAAGCAAATACTAGGTGAAAGTTGTGACAAAATATTTAGTCCCGTGATTAATTTTGTTGTTGTAAGAATGTTTTTCACAATCTTAGTTTGTATTCTAGGATGGTATCATTCCCAATTAGATATCAAGTGTGCTTATCTTTACACCAATTTGAATGAAGATGTATGTATGCATCAACCTCAAGGTTTTGTTGATTGAAATAAGCAAGACGGCATTTGTCAATTAAAGAAAGCTATTTATGGACTAAAACAAAGTGGTCGAGAGTAGTTTTTTGAATTGGATAATACACTTGAAAATTTAAAGTTTGTAAGATTAAAGTGGTGTAATTGTACATATGTATATAAAAATTTAATTCTTATAATTTATGTAGATGACATAATGATTTTTGCTAAGACAAAAAGATGAAGTAGACAGTGCTATTAAATATTTAGGTGATAATTTTGATTTAAAAATTTTGAATAAAACTTGTAAGTTGTTAGGTATTGAATTTGTCCAAAAGGATAGTGAGTTGTTCTTACATCAAAAGAGTAACATCCAAAAAAATTGTAAAATGTTTTCTAGCTTTAAATTTCCCCTGTCATCGTTGCCGATTACAAAGGGTAACTTATTTTCAAAAGCTGACTGTCCCTCTTCTAAAAGCGAAGTGGATGAAATGACAAAATTGCCACTTCGGAACATTTTGGGTTGTTTGTCTTACATAGCTAATCGCACAAGACCGGATATTTGCTATGCAGTAAATATATTATCACAATTTCAAGAAAACCCAGGTTTAAAACACTTTATTAAGATTATTAGGTTATGTTCAAAATGCTCAAGATTATTTCTTAAAATTGTCAAATATTGAGGAATTAAATGTTAATTGATACTGTGACTTAGATTTCGCTGCTAACAGGGATGACAGAATATCAGTAGGTGGTATAATATTTCCCATTCCCCTATTGAAAATAGTTGAACGAAACACATTGACGTAAGGTAAAATTTTTTAAGAAATTTATTTTATGATAAATTTTTTGCTGTTACGTTAGGGGTAAGTTTAACTTAGCAGACGTTTTTACAAAGCCTTTAACTAAGTTAGGAGTTGAGAAATTTTGTTCAACAATATTTGTGAAGGTTTAATCTTCTGGTTAGTTTCAGGAAAGAAACAACTTAAATGTTGGTTTAAAGAAATTAAATATTTCTTTAATATTTTTTTAGTTTATTGAAGATTTTGATAAACTGTATTTGTATTTTTTATAAAAGTAGAAGGCATGAGAGGGGGCCTCATGTTAGACAAATATAGGCTAAAAGGTATAATGTTCGATCTTTGTTAGTCATCGAAGAGGACGATCTCATACATTCAACTTGCATCGGTGACGTCATGGTCTGCGGGGATCGGCCAGTTTCTTTTCATTTGCTGTTAGTCATTCTTGCGTGGGTCATGACGTCATCCGTTATCTGTGTAAAGAGTATTTAAGCTTCTGTTGAAGCAGATTATTTTGTATTCTTTCTTTTCATTAGTCACTCTGTTTGTGACAGTTTGTCTACCAATGTTTTTAAATAAACTTATTGCTTTAGAAACTTTGTTTTATTGACAACGTTATTCTGCGACCATCTCGGAAGTCAGCTTCATTGTTTGAAAAAGAGTTGTGGTTTTGCGCTTTTATATTTAAATTTTTATTTAAAGTGTTTTTTTTTTTTACTTTTATTTTTTTTTTTTGGACAATTGACTTAGAATTTTTTTTTTCATGAACTGGACATGAGTCTGGATTTTAGATGTCCGGATTTGTGAGGTCGTACTGTATAAATAAAAATTTTAAAAAATAAGTAAAAAATCATAGTCTAGTTCTTTTTAACACATTTCATATAATAAATTCATTCATCATGAAGGAAAAGAAAGTTGTGAACTTTTATTAAGTAAATTTGTAGAGTGTTTTAACGTTGTTAAATTTCATTCTTATTCTTTAATATATATATATTTTTGATCTATAAATATGTGTTTTCCATTTTAGGTCTGCTCTTCGAAATTGGCTCTTTCAAGTTTCAAAAGATGGTATAAATTGGTTAACTTTATTTACTCATGTTGATGATTGTGCTTTGAATGAACCAGGCTCTACTGCATCATGGCCTCTAGATCCACCTTCAAATGAGGTTCAAGGTTGGCGTCACATCAGGCTTCAACAGACCGGAAAAAATGCTAGTGGGCAAACACATTATTTATCATTGTCTGGTTTTGAAATTTATGGCATGGTTACTGGAGTTTGTGATGATTTAGGTATGCTTTTACTATTGCATTTTTCTTATTAAATATTTATAAAAAGACTTATCTTACCGCTCTTATTTTGTAGAAATATTATTTTAAAAAATATGCTAAGAAATATTCATTTTCTCAATAATTTTACTTATATAATTCCACTGCTACCTGTGGAGCATCTAAATTTTGTTCCACAGTTTATGGGTTTTTATAATTATGAATAAGTCTTTTTTTAGTCACATATGGTCAAACATATGTATCTTTAAGAGACAATCATGCATCACACATAAAATATCTAAAGTCAAACACTTGTAATTTATTTTATGAGCCGGATAATATTTCTGCTTTATTAACATTATGATTTTCAAAACAAAAAATATTTTCAAGAAATGATCTTTTGAAAATTTAATCTAAATTGAGCATAATTAGTTTATTGAAAAAAAAAATTTAATTGTCGTTCATATTTTTAAGAAACTGTTCATTATCCTTCCACTATATGAAAAGTTAAATTGTAATAATTTGGTTTGTTTGATTAAAATTGTTGCATGATCAACTTAAATCTCTCCAAGTATAATTAGGACTTCTAACAGTTTCATATCATTAAACTTTTAAAACTTCTATTTGGCAGATTTTATAGTATTTAGCAAAAATTTTGTTTATTTTATAGTGTTAGTAAAACTTTTAGAAATACAACAAAGCTGAGAGTTTCATTAAGCAGAAAAAATAAAAAAAAATTCTGTTTATTATTTTTGCGACACTCAATAGCCACTATAAGAAGTTGTTTTTGTAATTTTTTTTAAGTATGTTAAGTTTTTGTTATGTTTGTTTATGATATGCATTCTAAAAAATATATATATGTATGTTTCCTAATAAGCGATATATTTAAAAGTTTTTTTATAATTACTATTTAATTGCTGTAAAATGTGTGAGAGAATTATAATTTCCTGTCATCTGTTCTTCAACTAGGTTTCCTATATCTAAATATTGTTATCAAGTTGTCATCAATTTACATACATCACACATTTAGGTATTACAATTCTTTATTGTAACAGATCCAGACCTGGTAACATTGTAGAAAAGTTTTCAGGGGCAATGCTTAAAAACATCAGGAGTTTTGGGAGTCATTTCAGGAGTATAATGTGAAACAAATTTAGTTATATTTCTATGCATAAATTTAAAAACTTTATAATTGGAAGGACATATTTAATAGAAAATGTTTAAAATTGATAGTTATTCAATAATATTTAGACCATCTTAAATAATTAAATCATGATTAATTTATCTTTGATAGTTGATAAAAAGTAAACAGAACTATAGTATTAATTCACTTACTTTCTTATCAGTTTCAAAAAATTATAATTAATTTTAAACTGTCAATATGAAATGAGAAAACTATCAAAGAATTGTGGACAGAATACTTATGAAGCAAAAGAGAAATTGTAAATTTTAATTAAGTAACAAAATCTCTCTTCATGACATTGTTACATAACAATCAAAAAAATATTCTTTTTGTTCTGTCAAAGCAACATAAGTAGCTTTCAGTAAATCTCGCAAAAATCTTGGAAATCTTCAAATTAGAAAAATTTTGTTGCGAGACAAATTGCTGCTGTCAGTCGCTTAAGTAAACATTTTGGTTCTCATCATGGCATATAAATAATTTTGCATTGTTTCAGCTAAAATTTTGCAAATTTCTGCAGGGTTCTTTTTCTAGCACATTTAAATTTGTTGGCAATAACCGAATCTGGGAATGTGCATTTAAATAACAGACTTCTGTGGTCCACAATGTATAAAGGCAAAAACATTTACAAAGAGAGTCTCCACTTTTATTAAATTTTAGTTTTCTTTTGTAGATCCTGAAAACATGTCTTTAATGCTTTTACTGGTAAAGGACGATGCACGATTTGTTCGATGGCGTGATCCATTTACGTGCTCTAAACGATAAGTTTGACCTCCATGAGCAATCAAAAAATCGCATTTGCAAATGTTGCAATGAACATAATGTGATGACTTAGTCGAATGAGTAAATACAGGCCATTCTACTGATTATTCTTTCCCATACAACTGTGAATGTTTTTTGGAAGACAATCCTGTCTCCAATCAGCAACTAACACTAGCATCAGCCGAACGAAAAAGTAAGCTTTGTATGCTTGCAAGAAACTATTCTAGAGAGAGAAGAAGAAACATTTCTCACACGCACTGCAGCTTTGATGGTGGCGTTGCTCAACCAGTTCTAGCTCTGCAGGTTAAGCGACGTCAGTACTATACACAAGGGCAAGATCACGTAGCCGAAAAACACTGTTCACCAATGGGAGGAGAAAGAGCTGACGTGAAAGGGGGGAATAAGATTATGTGACGGCATCGGCAAAAAGATTTTAAATTTAGTTGTTAGGCTTATTTTCAGGTAATAGTTATATCTTTGCGAAGTGCCTTTAATACACTGGAATTTCCAGAGATCGTCCGGAAGTTCCGGGGTAGTTAACAGGTATGCAGATCTGTTTCTCTTTTTATCAAATGCTAAATATGTCCTTCAGTTTTGAATTGATGCAAAAGCTGTTCTCTTTAACTGATAATTGCTATACATGTTTTCTAAACTAAATTTTGGTGCATCATAAGTGCAATATTATATAACAGGAGCTTTAAAATTTCCCTGTCAAATGTTTATTTTTGATGAAACGAATAATCCTAAGAACTGAAGAGCAGTATGCTTCTCAATAAAAATTTCATTTGCTTCATAATTAAATTCAAAAAAACTTTTTTCTCCACAAATGTTTTCATTGATAAGTGTTTATTTGTTAATCCGACTGTTTGTTTTGTGTGATAGCATTTTCCAATTTTCTGATTTTTTATATTAGGTAAAGCTGCCAAAGAAGCTGAAGCAAATTTGCGTCGTCAAAGAAGGGCTGTTAAACAGCAGATTAAGTTTATGTTACTTGGTGCAAGAATTGTCAGAGGTCCTGATTGGAAGTGGCGTGATCAAGATGGCAATCCTCCTGGTGAAGGTACAATATCTGGAGAGTTGCACAATGGTAAACTTCAAATTGTAGTTCTTTTTTGACAAAGCTAGTAATTAACTTCATAAGATACCTATAATTGCTTGTAAAATTGTAATTTGAAGTCTATTTTGTTGTTAAGCACTCTTCATGGCATTGTCTACTTGCTATGGAGCAGCAATGCTGAATGCTTTTTTTTTTCTTAAGTCTAATCTTGATTATACATTTTTTCATTAAAATAAGAGATATCTCTTATCAAAACAGTAATCTTGAGCCCCTTCCTTCGCTCTCACATCAAAACAATCTGGAGAAGTTTCACCCGCTATTTTTTATGAGCTGGAGTATTCGAAAGTAACATGCAAAAAACATTAAAATAATGTATATCTTAATGCCCAATAATGTATATCTTAATCATGCTTATTTCTCAATTTATACACCAGATGGCAGTATCAGACCATTTGTAATATATTTAGATTATCAATTTAGTTATATTGATAGTTTAGATACTTTAGTTAAAATAGATAGTAGTTAAATTTAAGCTAGATGCACTGTAACACAAACATGTAAAAAAATGAAATATGAATAGATATTGTACATACACTTAGATTAATATATTTTCTTGAAGAAATAAATAGGCACTTTTATTACTTTTATTCAAAACTATGCAACCAAAATTATTGGGTTAACATCATACAAAAAGGTTAAACTAAGAAATTTTGGATAGCTTGATGTTTTAGTTTATTATTAACATAGTATAGGGAATGGGTTTTTAATTTGAGTAAAGGGAATGTAAATTTTTTCAGTTTGAAATTTCTATCATTATGTTAAGTGTTTTGATAGAATAATTTGTCTTTTGTGCAATTTTTTCATTAATGGCGAAATTTGATACTAATAAATCTGTAAAATAATATAAAAATTTCAGGTTCTAAAATTTGTGTTTTTGATACAACAATTTTTTCTTTTTTTGATGATTAATATTTTTAAAAATGAAATTAAATCCTGAGTTTTTATCTATTATATTGTAAGAAAATGAATAAAACCATTAATATTTCCGAATAACTAAGAAATTATAGAGTAACTGAATCATATAGATTAAAAAAATAAATAAAAAAACTGAGGTGTATTCTTGACTTTATTTTTGCACAATTCTTGTTGAAAAACATATTTGTACATTGTTAGAGTTATGGTACTAACTCTAGTAATGTATTATTTTCCACTAAGGTTGGATTGATGTTGCATGGGATCAAGGTGGAGCTAATTCTTATCGAATGGGAGCAGAAGGAAAATATGATTTAAAACTTGCTCCAGGATTTGATGGAGAAGCCCACTTAGCCTCAATTACATCAACTTCTTCATTATTAAATTTAAAACAACAAGGTAAATCAGTTACATCTGCCATTGGAACAACTTTGACCTCTGCTGGAATGAAGACAGCTAGGACTATTACTACAGACTCTTCATCAGCTAAAGGAAGTGTATCCAGCAGGTTAGTGTTCCATTCTATGTTTCATTTCCCCCCAACTCTTAATACTTTTTTTTGTAATCTTAAACTAAAATATGGGTAATTCTCCAATATAGATGAAGTTTAAAAGGGTTAGTTAGATACTAAGAGTTGTTTAGAATACAATTTTTATTTATTTATTTATGTTTTAGAATTTTGTAAATAGAAAGCAAGAAAATGTTTTAATTGTTTAAAAAAATTTAATCTTAAGTTAACTAAATATTTACAAGCATTGAAATTCTCTGGCTAAAATTAAAAAGAAAATTTTTAAATTTTGTAGAATTTCATAGTTAGTTCAGTTCACGAAACTGGTCACAATTTAGTGTTTTTCATTGAATTCAAAATGTTAAATAATTAGTATGCTATTCTTTTCAAATCTTTTTTTAATGTCTTAAATTAGGGAAGAAAACTTAATGCCGTAGCTATGCTTATTGCGAGCAATAAAAGATAGTTTAAACAGTTAAAAAGAACTTACTTATAGTATTTTGATTTACCCTTGCCGAAAATCTCTATAAAAAAAAAGCTAAATGGTGTTTTCAATGTTTTACTTGAAATTGCATTCGAATGAAACGAACTTTATAAAGAAATTGAAAATAATTTCATCATCTTTTCAAATGGAAATATGTTTGGTTTCAGTGCTCTAGTTTTGTGATATTGTATTGAATTTTTTTTAAAAATTTGATTCTTATTTAATGTTTTTATTTTTAAACAAATTAAAAAGGAATTTTTTTTTATTATTTAAGCTAAAATTAATCTTTCTTTGTTGTGGGATTTTACATTGGTATTTTTTTACTGCCATAAACCTGGTTTCGCTTAGCACTTGGATTACAAGTTTATTACCAACATTATTTTTATTTACAAAAGTGTAATTTTTAATATACAGTTGAACCTCAATCGATCGTTTCTCAAGGGACCATTCATTACAAATGATAGATACAGGAAAATGACAATTGCGGGTCCACATACATCAATGACTTAAAAGGCATAAAAAGTAATTATTAAGTGATGAACTTAAAAATAAATAATTACAAAAATAATTAAATGTAATTTTAAAATTATGTTACATACTGCAAAAATATTTACGAAGCAAAAGAAAGGTTTCTACTACTTTGATAAAATATTTTAAAATGTTGGCTGAAACTAATTTTCCTTTTATAGCGAACATTAAATTTTCGACATTTATTACAGATTGCTAGACTTTTTCTATTATTTTTATGCTAATACGGATAGTTCATCATTGTTTCAAAGGCTGTGAGGCCTTTTGCTAATGTTGGCACTAGTTTTAGTTCCATTTTGGTTTTGTTGTCTCCATTGATAACCTTTGCTTCTGCAACCATTACTTCAAAGGATATAACACCACAAGTTTTAACATTTTTATCAACTGTTGCATAATCATCAAACGTGATGGTTGAGATGTTTTTCAATACTATGACAAATTCCTCCCCAGCAGAAACAGTGAAAAAATAGTTAGTAGCAAATTAATCATGATTTTTGTCCTCGCCGTTCAATACTAGGGCCTTCTTAATAAAAACCTTTCTATAAAGGCGCTTAGAATCTATAACCCATTCTCAAATCAAACAGTTGAATCCGGCTGTGGAATTTGGAAGGGGGTAGGGAAATAATTTTACCATTTTGTAAGGAAAAAAATATCAGGGGAATGTGCTGAGCAGTTATCAATAAATAAAATTAAATTTTTCCTTTCTTCCCAATTGAATGATTTAAATTATGCTGAAACAGAAAAAAAATCTATTTGTCATCAATGCTTTTGAATTAGAATAAGTCAGCTTTTGATGTTTTTAAAACACATGTTGTACTGACTTTCTGGTTACAATCAGCATTCTTTTATCATTCCCATCTCATAATAAAACTGCCACTCTTTCTTTATAATTTTTGCCTTTATGACAAGCTTTACTTTTCAGTGCTGGTGTATGGTAAGCATATGTTAAGAAGGCTGATTTTGTTTGCATTATAATAAACCAAAATAAATAAAAATTTTTAAATTTCTGATTTTCTATTTCTGAATCACTTTCTTCAGATTTAATTTTTATTGTCTACATTATACTGATTTGTCAACGGCAAAATTTAATTTGTTGATCATTATTTTTAACATTCATTCATCTAAGTTCAATAATTTTAGCTCATTTGGATCATGTGAAACTACACCTGGCATTGTGTCTGCATCACAACTCAATGAGCAAGCTTCTTCTTCGGAGCACTTATCAGTAAAAGTAAGTTAATCATAATTGCTGTTTATGCATTGATTGTGTGTTTGCATGTTATAGAATAGGATTGAAGTGTTGATTTGTACAGTAGGTAGTTCATAAAGCAAAGAACATTTTAGTATTTCTAAATAAAAATAAAATGCATTAACACAAAACTTTATGTTAAAAGTCAGGGTATCTTTGTTTATTTATCAATATAGTTGCTATAGCTTTAGTGTAACATAAGACCAATGATTCAATTTCAATCTTATATATGAATGCTTATCTCCTAAGATTTGAATCAAGACATCACTTATTGTTTGAAGTCTTCATCTTTTTTTTTCTTTCTTCATAACTGTGTCTTCAGTTTTGGGAATAAGTCTAAATCACTTGATGTCATGTCAGGGCTCCTTAATTTTTGCATTCATTTAACCCATATAATTTTTACAGCAGATTTGAAAGCAAAGTTTGAAGAGAAAAATTAATGATCCCTAACTTGATTCCTGGTGGTTTTAGATTTTTGGGTAGGTTGCAAGAAATAAAGACTTCAACCACACAGTGACAGCTTAGTTTAAGTCTTTGGGTAGTAGAAGAAAATTTAATACTCTTCATTAGAAATGCATTGAAATTGAAAAAGGGATTCAACATTTTAGAGTCAATGATTTGACAACTTTTGCGATAACATTGAAGACTAGAGTAATACTGTTACTTTGTAACTTAATCACAACTAATTTTTTTAATTAATTTAAACAGTCTACTTTCTGAGGAACCCTACCATTATAACTATCTACTGTACATTTGTATTGCTTTTACATTGCCACAGAATTTTTACTTTAACTATTTTCTAAATAAAAATAACTTTGATTTTTAGTAATCTCTGTTTCTTTAGCATATTTATCCCAAAAAAAAGTTACAAAAATTGTTTTATTTTAGGTTTGTTATATTATCTCAGTTTATTTTCTTATCATCATTAAGAATGAATCCCAGATCATTTCCAATAGCCAATTAGTGTAGCTCTAGTATAATGTTAACTAAACCAAGCCAAAAAAAAAAATGAAAGAAAAAAAAAACTATTTACTTTGATTTTCTATTAGTGATTAAACTGAATAATGTCTTTTTATGTCTAAATGTGATTGCTATTTTAGTGCCCATTGTTAGTTTCTTAGTCTTTTATACTTAAATAATTTTATTTTTATTGTTTGTAGGATTTCATATTAACTTGCTTATATTTATTATAGCAAGCTGCTGAAATGTTGGCTGAAAATGTACTTACAAGTGCCAGTGCAGAAGCTGCTGTTGCAAATGTCGAATGTTCAGATTCAGAAAATAATGCTACTCCTATGATTCAATCTTGTAAAGCATTATTAATGCGCAATGAATTTTGCTCTGTTTCAATGGGCCTTTCACCTACACGAGAGGAGGAATCTTTTAATATTCAAGATTCTATTGAAAGTCTTCATCTGTCTGAAACTTTGCAAGTCCATTCTCAAGGAGATAAAGTTTCTGTTGTGGACAATCAACATCAGAATTCTCGTGATAATTCTTGCGCTAGTAATGCAATGAGTGTAAGCGCTCCCAATTTATCAAACAATGATTCAACAGTAAGTTTCTTAGAGACCTTTGCTGCTGTTGCTCGAAGGCGAGCTAATGGCAACACTTTGAATTCTAGTGCTTCTAATTCATTGTTTAATCGAGGATCTAATAATGTTGGAAGCCTAGTTCGCCTTGCTCTATCATCTAATTTTTCAGGTAATTTTTTATTATGTTGCAAATATTCTCGTATTTTTATGTGAAAGAAATTTTACAGTCGGTCCTCGATAATTTGACACTCGCTTAATTTGTCACTCCGGTTATTTCGACACTTTTTTTCAAGTCCCGATAGATTTGCAGTGTTAACAAACTCCGTTTAATACGTCATGGGGAAATTATGAAGTCCGGATAAAATGACACTTTAAAAAATGTTTTCACTGGGAAATTGCTTTTCTCCAGTCAACTTTTGCGAAATTTTCCACTTGGCTATTTTTGCCATTTGCACTAGGCAACCGGCTCTTGGAATTCGGACACTGGAAGAGTTTTCCCCCCTGCCCTTTTGTCTCACCCCTCCTTCCACCACCTCTTGCAAAAAGAACTGCAATAATGCTCCTTATCTCTGACCTTACGAGGGGTAATGGAATTCGGACACTGGAAGCGTTTTTCCCCTGCTCTTTTGTCTCACCACCTCTTGCAGAAAGAGTTGCAAAAATGCTTCTTATCTCTGACCTTACGAGGGGGTTACGGCAGGGGGAAGAGGTGGCAGAAAACGAGCATCTTGGAATGCGTGCCTTTTCTACTCTCTCTTGCAAAACTTAGTACGGCGTAGCGGTGCGGTGGTTTCTCGAGTCTCTCTAGTCTTTAGTTCAGTGCAATAGCGAGTAAACTTGGATACAAATCTTGGACATTGGATGAAAAGCTCCAAATCATAAGAGAATTTGAGCAATCTGGAATGTCTGAGGCTGCTTTTGCAAAACGGAAAGGAGTCCCTCGCACAACCTTCATTGCCATTTGGTCCTTAAAAGATAAAATTGAAAGTTCTTTGCGTGTTCAGGATGGCAAGAAGAGAAAGAGAATGCGTGTTTCGACCTTCGAAGACGTTGAAAATGCCCTTGTTAAATTGTTTAGAATGGCCCGAGCCCAAAACATTCCAATTTCAGGACTTAACTTGAAAGAGAAAGCTTTGCAATTTTCAAACGAACTGGGTGTTTTGGTGTTCTCGGAGAGCAACGGCTGGTTTGAATGGTTCAAAGAGAGACATGGACTTTCCTTCAAAAAGATGTGCGGAGAAGCAGCGGCCGTTGATATGCGTCCAGTTGAGGAATGGAAAAATGGTGCCTGACAAGACTTTGACTTTTCAATCAGAGGCCTGCTCAGATGGGAAGAAAAGCAAACAACGAGTTACCGTTCTGTTAGAAGCAAACATGGATGGTGGATGGTTCCGAAAAACTTAAGCCTCTGGTCATAGGCAAAAGTGCAAAACCAAGGTGCTTCAAAAATGTGAAGTCTTTGAGTGTATCATATGAAGCAAATTCAAAGTCTTGGATGACCTCCAATGTTTGGGAAAATCTCTGAAAGAGTTTGACAAAAAATTCCATGCAACAAATCGTAAAGTGGCGTTTGTTGTGGACAATTGCGCAGCACATACTGAGGTAAGAAACCTTTAATCAGTGAGTTAGTTTACATGCCGCCCAATGACACTTCAGTTTTACAGCCCCTTGATCAAGGAATCATTTCCAGCTTCAAGAGACACAATTGGAAACATCTTGTAAGAGACTGGATTAAAGCCATTGATGAAAGCAGAGAATGGAAACTAAATCTCTTAGATGGCATAAATTACATCCACAGGAGTTGGGCTGATGTGAATGATAAAACCATCAAAAACTGCTGCAGGCATGCTGGATTTGTTGAAAGTCCAAGCTCGTCGGAAGATGTTAATGATGATGAAGGTGATGACGTCCCTTTATCTGAATTGCTCAGGCAACTTAAAGAACGCAACAAAGATGTGATGGATGAAGAAACATGCCTTGGAATTGACCAAAATCTCGTGACATCTCCATAACTTAACGTCTCGGAAATCGCGAACGAAATACCAAACCAAACAAACCCGTATTACCAAACCAAACAAACCCCATACCAAACAAACCCGTATTGATAGTTTTTTCATTCCTAAATAAATAAAAGTAAGTATGTATACCATACTGTTTGTCTTTCTACTGATGCTATTTTTTAATTGAACTGTTTTAATGCAAGTTCTTTTACGTTTTTTTTTATTTTAAGAAATAGAAATTTAGCTGCTGTATGTAGTAATTGTTAATTTATGGGTATTTTCCCAATTGTTTGAAAAACAATGCAACTCTGGTTTATTCCTCACTCCGCTTAATTCGTCAGTTTTTCAGAGGTCCGGAGAGTGTCGAATTAATGAGGTTTGACTGAAGTTCATTTGTTTAATATCTAATGATGAAATCATTAAGTCTGTTAATGTGTGTAAGATTTACTTGATAACACTTAATCAAATGGATAATCTGTCTTATTTATAATATGAGAATTTTATATCTTAATATAAATATAAATAATGTATATGTTTCTCATATGTTTTTCTAGTTCAGTTAGATTTGTTTAACAAATTCTGAAGACAATGCAAGCTTGACCAATAGTTCTTGTTAGTTACAAAATGCTAATACACGAAAGTTATTCATTTTTCATTATTTGAGGAAATATCATTACAGTCCCAAGAAATATTTCAAAATTTCGAGCTTTGTTTTTATAATAGGTCTAGAATAGTTTTCAATTAGTAGGAAAATCTGCTTTTTTATTTTGCTATCTGTCTATTCTTTTTTCATATTTTCTTTTAACTGCTATACATCTATTCCATGACCTGAAATTAAGCGAATGATATCAGAATAAGAAAAGCAGAAATGGTTGTGCTCTGGAAAAAGTTCAGATTTTTCACTAAACCTGATCCAGAAATTTTTGAAAATTTGAGGTCCAGAAGTTTCAAGAAATTATCAATTACATTTATGTATAAAAATTCTTATATATTTTATTTAAAAATATTAGAACTAGAATTTATACTTGGCATCTCTTTCTTTTGTAAATAATTTTTCTGTTAGAATAATAAATGTGATTAAAGATGAAAGTGCAAAATTATTAATTTAAATTATGCTGTATGTAATTTATTTAGAATTTCATGTTGTGCAATTACTAGTGATTAAAATTTATAAAGACGTACATTTTTTGAAATGCGTCAATAATGATTTTACTCAAGAAATTTTCAGGATTTTTGAGTTGGGCTTAAAATCACCCCTGGAAAGGAAAAAAGGGAATTTTACCTTTTGAAGAGAAAATCAATTTCAATTGCTTTCATGAACAACAGTTAATGTTGTTTTATTTATGAAATGCCATTGTTTCTGTTGGGTTTGAAAGAATTATAATGTTATTTTTGTGCTGTTATTATTCATAAAATGGGATTTAATAAAAAATGTAATTAGAGAATTATTAACAGAATTTTGGGAATGATGAAAGTGATGTTTAAGATTTATCTGAGCATTTCAAAAGGTTCTGAGTATTTCTGCTGATTTTCATACAATTTAATGGATATAATAAATATCTCCCTTCCAGGCTATAACTGTTTATGTTTTACAATTTTCTTCCTCTCTAGTCTTTGATAAGAAGTAAAATTATAAAAACAATAATTTTTCCCTTTTTCAGTTCATAAAATTATCAAAAATTGATAAGCATAGGGAGTACTTACAGAAAAATGGAGGTCATGTTTAGATTGAAGAGGTCATTTATTATAAGAATCAGCAGAAGTGATGTCAGATTATTTTTTCATGTGCTATTTGTTGACTTGCATTGCATTTTCAATATAATTCCCTAAATTTAATTTAACATTAAAAAGATTAGTAAGTTTGATACTGTGTATAACTAAATATGTATTTTAGATTGCATTTATTTATAATTTGAATATTAACACACTTCTTTTTCGATACTACTATGATAAACTTCAATTATAAAGTGACATTTCTGAAAAATTATGATTTTATCTTTCAAACCATGAGAAAAAAACAGTATTTTATTGAAATTAATTTTGAAATTTATACTTGTTTTTTTATGTTATTTAATATCCATATCTTGAATGTTTTGTATAGAAATACTTGCTGATCTTTTGGGCGGAATGCCTGTTATTGAAACTCCATCAGAAAGTACTACCATTGTCAATCTTTCTACCTCAGGTATGTCTTGAAAATGAAATTTGACTGTTTCTCTTCTATAATATAATTTTAGAATTTAAGGAGAAATACAATTATTGGATTGAAAATAATATAAAATAAATACAAAATTATCGAGTAATCTTTACAATCCCTTAAAATAATAGTAATGCAAGAGCAATATTTTTATGCTCACAATATTAAAGATGCCAAAAATCCTTAATTGTCTCAGTATTGTTTATCACAATGATCATAAAAATGTCCTTGACTATCTTAACATTTACAAAATATTAATTTCATCATTTAATATCTCATTCATGCAGGAATAAATATTTCTTTTCTATCAGGGGGTCCTCTAACGACTGCTCAAAGTTATCCTAGTCTAACAACAACTACAACATCTGTATTATCTGGGAGTCAGTCTGTCAGCGGTGCTGCATCTGCTGGTTCATTTGGTCAATCTCTTACTGTTAGTTTAACTTCCACATCAAGTGAAAGTGAACAAGATTTTCTTGATAGTTGCAGAGCAACAACTCTTTTAGTTGATTTGGATGATGATGAGGAATTGCCTGATCCAGAAGATGATGAAAATGAAGATGATGATGAAAATGAAGATGATAATGGATTCGAAGATATCACAGTAAGAACATTCTATACCTAATTACTACTTATAACTGTTTTTAACCTCATTTCAATGTCTTACTTTATATTTCCTTTCTTCGTGATACACATTAAATTTGTAACTCGTATCATAGTTGAGAAAATAATGACATTTTTGTTACTAAAATTAAATTTGATGAAATTTTTCAGGAATGATGACTTTTATCTTAATAATAAATGAATGAGAAATGAATTCTCCTTGAGGTTGTTTACTTTGAGAAATCTGATAATAAATAAGCAGAAACTTAAAATCAGAATTTTCAAGAGTTAGCGATTAAAATATTAGCATTTCAGGGCCTATAGTTGTCTTGATATTCCTTATTTTCTTGACAAAAAATATTTGTTCCTTATTTCTCCTTTTTTTTAGGTTTTACTTCTGATATTCTTGATTTTTGATATTTATGATTTTGTGTGTGCTCAGAAACATCCCATTTTCTATGAATACAGATGCAGATTTGGCTTTTTATTTTTATTTGGACAGATTTTATTTTATTTAGACAGATTTTATTTTATTTAGACAGATTTTATTTTATTTGAACAGATGGTTTTTATTTTCATTAATAATTCTAGTAAAATCTTAAAATTTTATATTTCAAATGCAGTGTTCCTCCACTAATTATATACATGGTTCGGGTATAAAGTTTTACTGGTGTTATTCCTTTTTTCAAACTTTTTCAGAAACTTAGCTATTTTTCAAACAAGAGACTCTATTAACAATTTTACGTTATCAAATTTTTATGGTAATAAATTCATACCTCGTACGCTTTTTACAGTGAAACCCATGTTTTATATTTTCTGTCCGACTAGCGCTAAAAAGTTCACAAAGCAGAATGACCTAAAATGGAGGTAAAAAAATTTGAGTATATTTTTCAAAAATTTACATTTTTGAGATGAATTACTAGAAAAAATAAGTAATCTAAAAATGTGTTTTGTTTTTAGATACAATTATAAAAATATCCCTCAAAATTTTTGCTATTGTTTGCTAATTTGCTTTATGGCTTACATGCACAAATGTTTCAGAGTTTTCATGTTTTCAAACTCTTGATCAGTTGTGGATATATTGCCCGATATTTTTTGCTCATCTTCCTCATTTTCGCCACTGTCATCGGGAGCAGGCATTAAATCAGATAATGAAGGAATTGAAACGCAATAGGATGTGGGTTCTGTCATCAACTTCGGAAGATCTTCAGATATGCAATTTTGTTCAAAGGGCGAATGTTCCCATTGTATACTGAGAAGCTATTAACCCCAAGAAGCTTAATTAATCCCATTTATAATGCATTTTAGTCGACACACTGTCCAACACTGTACAAATCAAATTCACAGCTTCTAAAACATTTACTTTTGTTTCAAAAGTATCTTGCAGGTTTCCAGAGTCAAGAAAAAGAAATGATTGCCAAACTAGTTGTTAAGTGTAACGTTCTTTAAATCATTGGATTAGTCCAAGATTCAAAGGTTGAAGTTTGCTGGAAAAAATTCCACTCACATATTTTATAATTTAAGCTCCCTTACTTCCTTTAACCGCACTTCTGAGTTTGACTCAAAGGGGAGATATCCTCTTGCAGACAAAAGGACAAATTTTTATAGAATAGCGCATAATTACAGAATATAAAGTAGCTTAAAATAGAATAGAAAGTAAATCAGAAAAGTTACATACAGTTAATGAACAAGTCTCTCTTTAAAAAAATGAAGGGAAAAAACAACATAGAAAAAGTTTGTGCAAGCTTTGTCCAGGAAAAAATTTTTGTGATCTGTTAGAAAAAGTTATAAAGCGGGATTTTCTTGAAAAGGGTAATTTAAAATCCTGGATAATTTAGTATTATCGGTATAGACAATTTTCATGGTCCAGCAGGAAATTGCGTCGGAAGCGTGATGATATACAAAACAGATAACATAAAACCAGAGTTCCACTATATAATTTTTGAGAAATGCTATAACAAATCTTGTCCTTCTTGTAGTTTCATATTTTCTCTTTCTTCTGATTTTAAAAATGATCAATTCCAGTTAACTTTACGTTAATCCTATCTTAGAAATTTTAAATGGTGAACTGTGAAATCATTAACTAAATTACTTTTGTGAAAAAATCTTAAGCAAAATATTAAATGTTTTTTTTCTTTTCTCGAAATTATTGAAACTCTACAATTTATTTGATTAATTAAGTCCTGAATTCTAATTTAAATTTTAATTAAATATTGGCATGAAAGAATAGTAGCTTTTATTTTTTCTAATGCAACAGTACTATAAAAATGTTTTTGCATACTGATTTAAAACTATGAGTTGTTTAGTGCTCTATCAATACAATTACACTGGAAACTTTCAAAACTGTTCTAAACAAAGTAATTCTGAAATTGAAAATAGTAATTTATCATTCTTTTTCAATAAAATTTGCCTTTAATATACTTAAGTAGAGCAAATCTTAATTTTTTTATTAATTTAGTTTATTGTTTGCCTTGATCAAAAATAGTCGTGTGTATGCATACTGTTCCAAAAATTTTATATTTGTTCTGATATTTTTGAAAAATGTTGTCCTGATTTTTCTTTGATCCTCTGTGAGACGTGAAAACTTAGATCACAGAAAATGGCTTTTCTTAATATCGGTATTTTGTGCCTGGTATATGTATACTGTTTCTAAAAATATCCTTTATTTATTTTGTTAATTTTTTTGAAAAATCTTCTGATTTTTTCTTTGCCTAATGCAAGTCCTGGTATATTTGTTCTTGTGAATTATATTTTTCTTTATTATTTATTTTAGTTTTTTCTCTTTTCATTTGTTAATTATAGCATTATAGACAATATACTAAGTCGGTTGCATTTATATTAAATAAAAAATTCGGAAAACATTAAAAAAAATTTTTAAATTAAATTCCTAGAATGCTTTTTTACATTATTATTTCTAAGAAACTGATTTAGTTTTAAGAAATGATAAGATTTTAATTTGTTTAAACATTTTATTTTTGTTTTCTTTAGGATTATTCTTTTCCTAGTTTGGATTTCGTCTTAAATTGCAACTTTAAATCACACAAAATACAGGTACATTATCAATTAGAAACATAGATTTTATTTTTTTGATTTGTCAATTTTTCTGACATTCTTCAAAGATTACACTTAACACCCAACTCTTGTTGACCTTTTTATATCATATTTTTGGGATTTAGCTTATCCCGTCAGCCATGAAGGCAGTATGTACAGCTTTTATACATTTATAGCAATTATGTAGTATCTATCCTTGATTCAACTAGATAGAGTTCATTATTTTAACTCTCATTAATTTAGACAACTCATTTTTGTAATGTCTCATTAAAGAAACTTCTATCCCATTTTTTTACCTACAGTACAGAACCCGTTATCCGGAAATCAGAAAACCGGGAAAGCAAAAAAACCGGAACGAAATTGGATAAATTTTCTCGCCATTTTTTAAATTTTTTTTTTATTTTCCTCATAAGATTTCAGGATTTTTCGCTCTTTTTTGAAAGATGTTTGCCTTACCATCATTTTGGAAATAATCATTAGTGTATTCAGCGGGGCCACCCACCTGGAAAACCTGGAATTATCAGGGAATTTTTTTTTATACTGGAAAAAACCTGGAAAAATCAGGGAAATATGGATAAAAACCTGGAAAACCTAAAAATTTTAAAGAAAAGCTGGAAATTTTTTCTTACATATTTTTTTAATTTCAAAAATTTTAATTATTTGCTAATTTCCTTAATTTAAATTGTTTCATCCATTATACCCACATTTTTTAGACGGAAATGTATTTCCAAACAGTTATCAAAATTTGCTCCATTATAACCCTGTTAAACTAGAATACAACATAAAATTCTCCTGTGGTTGCTAAGCAAATGTAGAAACCTTTGATCTCTATGCAGACTATGGGACTGTGCAATTTAGGAAAGGCAAATATTATGGTGGATGTGGAAGACGGGGTTTGGATATTTCCTTCGGTTTTTAAATTCTGTCCGTGTTCACACAATGAGAGTGGTAATTTTTTTCTATTTTGACAAAATGAGTCAAAATGTTTTTGTATTTTTAACTTTATTAAATTCTTTAAAAATTAGTTGGTTATACACTCATGTCCATAAATTAAGGATAATGAAGTTCAGGCACAGAAAGAGGCAGAAGCCAAACAAATTTGACTTATTTGTAAAGTCTATGTATTAAACAAAAGGTAAGGAGCAAAAAAGATGCTATATGTTTGATATAATTAATAAAAATTGCGATTTTTACTGCCTGGAACAAATTTCAAAAAAGAACCTATTTACAAAAAACAGTATAACATGGTTAGTATGATGGTTAATACGGAGTATGTCTCCCGGACGATGCAATACAGGCCGTACAACGCCTAGGCATGCTGAGTATCAAATTATCAATCTGATCCTGGGGAATATTACACCACTCATCAAGCACTCATCCAAAAGTCCGGTAGACAGGTGGTGGGGGGTTGACGGCCAGCAATTCGTTGGCCAAGCATATCCAACACATGCTCCATTGGATTCAAGTCCGGTGAGTATGCTGGCCAATCCATACGGGTGATATCCTCTTATTGAAGACATTCGTCTACAATGTTTGCACGGTGAGGACGGGCGTTGTCGTCCATAAACAGAAATTCAGCACCCATGGAGCCCCAAAACAAACGTACATGTTGTTCCAGAATGACATCCCTATAGATGTGGCATGTAATTGTTACACTATGAACATGCAGGTCAGTTCTGGAATCAAGAATAA